GTCGTCGTTGTCGACATTGTTCTCTCCTGTTTTTTTTCCTAAGCTGGGGAACTACTACTACTTACAGGTAACACAACCGGGATGAATTTCTCCAAGTAGCTAAGAGGGTGATTTCCAGGTGAACATCAACGAAATCTAACGAGTTTTATTAATATGCAGTCTATGTTAGTCAATGCCTGAGGTGCATTAAATCTGATTAGAAGTGTGTGATTTTGTGCTTTAACTCTAATAATTGTCTTGACATGAATTGACAAATTTGATGTACATATTTTGTAAATACAGCAGTAATGAGAAGAGAGGGCATTTTGATTTTCTCATGTTGGCCAACTGCATTTTCTAAACCATTTTTTTTTGCAGAATTGCACGCCCGCGTGCCTCATCTTACCCGATAACAAGATGAAACCAGACAAGTTCGAAAACTATATGAGATTTTCAAAATAATTAGATTCGGAGATTTGCCTAACATAAAAATAACTAACTGAAAAATTAGTGGTGAAAATCTCAACAAAAAAAAAAAAAAAAAACACTTGAATAGTGAAGTGAAAGTTGACTTTAATCATCGAGATTAAAGTCAACTTAAACACTTGAATTTCTAAACCCTTTTTTTTGTTTTTGTAGAATAGCTCGCCCACTTGCCTTATCTTATCTTACCCGATACCTAGAAACTATTAGTGGTGAAAATCTCGAGAAAAAAAATGCACTTGAATAGTGAGGTGGAAGTTGACTTTAATCATCGAGAATAGAAGAAAACCGACACATCAATTGTCATTGACCATGTTCTAGGCGCCAGAAAACAAGAAAGGAAGAGGGACATAATAATCAATCCACATTATTAACAAAGCAAAATCTTTATATGTGACATTATTCAATAATTTATTTTAACATGGCCCATGATTTTCTATTCTTATTTTCATTAAAAACCATTTCCAACGATCTTATATATTAACTAACTTTGTAATGCTCATTTGAGACTTACTTGGAAACCGCTACAGAAGGCCCAGTTTGTCTCTCCTAAAAGTCACAAAACAAACCCCATCGGCATAAGTTGATTGGTGAAAACTATAGTTGAAATGAACAATACAGATCTTTACAACGTATAAAAGTGTATACTCAAAGAGTTCCCTACAAAAAGAAACACAAAAGGCCTATTTTCACTGCACCATTTTCTTACCCCATGAGTGAGAGTGATAATATTAAAACATCATTCCTGTTTCTTTTCCTTCGTCACTGGCCAGCAACTGGTAGGGAAGCATTCATTTTCTGGATATTTTCGACCACATATACACTATAAAGAAACAGATCAATGCAAATACGACGACCTGGACGACATGATTTGATCCGTTCTGTATGATTTTTTTGTTCAATCTTCTTACGTTGTTCTTCACTCCCGCTTGAGCTTTGATCAACGTCATTTGCTACAACAAGACAGAAAACAGAACTTTGAATCAGTCGGAAGTATGAGAAGTATATGGGATTGTATGCATTTCGAATTGGTAGAAAATGATATGAGACTGGTTTTCTTCAGTTAGTTTCTTCTAATTTGATTGAGCTCTATGCATTTTAGGCTGAGGTTATCAAGAAAACTTGTTTTGTTTCTTTCTTTTTGATCCATTTTATGTTTTTTTTGGCAAAAGGTATGAGGCAGCAACATGTATTTCCATTCCCTACCACAACAGGAATCAAATAATTGGAATGATCCTAATTTTCGTATGACGATAACAAATGGGAATCGTTTCTCATTTCTTTTATATATATATATATATATATATACATATATATACATATAACAAGATACAATTTTTCATTGATGGATGGAAACAAGAAGTTCAGAGAAGCTACCTTCCCCCAAAGGGAGAAAACATTCTTTGATAAATTTAATAAATGAAAGGAACGATAATCATTTACATTCTGGTCCTTGTTACAGAAAATATTTAATAGATGCAATTTTCAAATTTTAATTCTCATTCTATTGTTTTTCCTGTTGACTAATTATTATTCCAATTATCTGTAATTTCCATTTTCTTAAGCAAACAGGACCTGAAGATTTTTTTTTTTTTTTTTCTCTCAAGTAAGATCGTCAATCAGTAAAAAAAAAAAATAATAATAATGACAAAAAAAAAAAAAAATCAAATGTAAATATGACAACTAAGAAAAAATTGCATACCAACTGATCTAGAAAATCTTGCTGGGATTTTGCTTCTGTTCCAATTTCTTGAGCAATCTGCACCAGAACAATTACACCAAGTACCAAAAATAAAAGATAAAGAATTGGATTAGGAATTAAGTAAATGTACTCGATCTCAATAAGGTAAAATTATGACAGAACTGTGAAGAGTCGCAAAATGAAGACGCTAGGAGCTTTGCACTTTGAACAGAAAAATGCTGCTCAGATCATAGTATAAAGTTACTTTCTCAAGGAGCTTTGCACTTTGAACAGAAAAATGCTGCTCAGATCATAGTATAAAGTTACTTTCTCAGATTAACGTGTCTGATTTAAGTAGCTGATAACCGGATATTGACTTTGGAACCAGAAAAAAAAAAGAAAAAAACACAACTGTTCTTTTTTCCTAGATAAGAAACAAGAAGAGCTTTTGTAGACAATATGAAAGAAAAACGTTGTCAACAATAGGACGCTTAGCTCAACGTTTAGAAACAAATCTTTCTAAAAAATAAATAAATAAAAAAGAAAACGACCAGGTCAAGAAAAGATGCCGCTCGTCTTCCAGATTTTGGTGGCATACAACACACAGTTAGAGACCAATAACATCAGTAATCCCCTCTTTTCATTTTGATCAGCTGTGCCAGAGTTCAAATTTACTCACACCAACTAGATATCTTTCTATATGCAAATAGTTAGTTCTAAGGAATTCTATCAGCTTAATTTGTAGATTCTTGTTCATTATACAGGACCATATTTAAGGCAATGGCCAGACAATTTTGGAGACTTTAGAAAGGGTAAAACAAGAAGACAGTGACCAATGATTGAACTTATGACTTCAAAAATGTCGACTTTATAACTTCTGATTGCTAGCGAACCTCTAAGGAAGGTTTCCATCAAGTGCTCCAAGGAAAGAGGATGCCAAATAGGTTTCTGCTCCACCGACTATAATTCACATTGATATGCTTGTTATATTATTCTTACACACTTCTTTCATTGGCTATGATACGTTTAGAACGATGACGAGCCAATAGACTAGAACTGCCATAACGAAGACTCTGTAAATGTATGGCTTCTGCTTGTTCCAGCTGTAGGTCTTATATATTTCGGTTTTCTTAAATAATAAAAGGTCACATATCTTACATAAGAAAGGAGGGAAAATCACGAAACTATACAGAAAGAAAACCATGCCTGTGACCGCCATTATAATGAAATACAAATATGAGCACAAAGCATACAGCTATACCATGTGAAATGTATCAATCCATAACGTACATTTCATGAGCTCAATTGAGAAAGGAACGACGTGTAATTCCTATAGTATCATTACAAAGAGATTGACCTCTAACAAAGGTAGATTCAAATATTTTATAAAAGTTGAAAGAAATCTGAAGATTTCTGTCAAAAACTTGTTTTTAGATGTCGAACTCTATATAAAAGTTTAGCTGCGGTTTCCAGTTTTCAAATCAATAAATCTAAGTGCAAAGCTGTACGATGGTTTAATGGAAAACCATATACTTACATTTCTCAGCCTTTTAACCTGGCCATGGAGACCAACGATCTGGTCGTCCAAGTCCCCTTGCATCGGATCGATCTGTAGTTGAATTTCATCGGAAGCAGCCGCCGGTCTCGTGCTAAGCCCCTCCCTGAATACCTCAAAACAAAGGACGATTGCACTTGAGCGACATGAATTGAGTAATTATGATTATTAACATCAGTAAATATAGAAATTATTTGAGTAATTCTCCGAGACACATGAGACAAACTCGTAATTCTTACAAAACGTTTAATTCCTGAAACTAAATTAGGAATTTAGCATGATAGAAGAAAAAGAACAATACCTGGAACGATAAGGAGCGGCATCGCCGTTGTAGAAGGAACTACCGCCACGATACGAATTAGACGCCATTGAAGACAGAATGAAAACCTAATCCAAAAGGAAAGAATTGGATCGGAAAGAGACGAATAGCGAGAATCAATTTCAGTATCTTCAATCTGAGTCGGAAGGTGAGAGCGCGAAGCAAATTGGGATTTTTCCGACTCCCGTTAACGCGTTGGCGTTTATTGATTTGTTTTTTTAAAATACAACACGTATTTGGTTGTAAGGGGCGAGTGAATGTTGGTTCGGTTGGGTTTTTTTTAAGACCGAACCTCTTGAATAAACCCGCATTTTTTCGACCGGATCAGTTCGCCCGGTTCTTGAACAAAATGTTTTTTTTTTCTTAAAAATATTAATCGGTCCTAATGTACGGGACTCGAGATTAGAGATGTCTACAAGACACAGGCTCGGATACAAACCTCTTCACCGTCCCCTCACGAGACAAAGTTGTGGTGAAGATCCATTTACATGGACATTCAAGATGGTATATCTTGTAAAAGTCCAAGCTCACTACTAGCAGATATTGTCCGATTTGTTCTGTTAGAGACAGGTTTTCACACCTTTTGTAATAAATGTTTCGTTCTCTTCTCCAATCGATGTGAGATTTTACAATCCACCCCTGTTGGGGGCTACCATTCTCATTGACACACTAGTCAGTGTTCGGCTTTGATACAATTTCTAATTGTCTAAGCCCACATCTAAACAGATATTGTCTCATTTGACCCGTTGCGTATTGCTATCAGACTCACGATTTTAATGACGAGTGCACTAGTAGGTCTGTGTACGTGGGTTCTCCCCTATTTTCGAGTAGCTAAATTTAGGTAGGTCCAAATACAAAAACCGAGCCACACGAGACCGTTAACCTAGGTCACAAGATAAATAGCCCAATTTTGTTCATATCACAATGAGAATAAAATAATAGGAAGATTAATAAGAATAAGATTCATTGATCCTATCCAAGAGTAAGTGTGATAAAAGAACTTGGCCAATTATTTCAAGAAGCAACGGTGACAACTCGTCTTCTGGCGATGCGAAGCGGGTTGAGCCAGCGCAACTCCCATCAGGAATGCGTCCATTTATGCGCACAGCTCTTTCTATGTCACGCTTGATTTCTGCCCACTCATTCCATCTCAAATCGAACTCGACACCGATAATTTCTCAATCTTCTCGCTCTCTTCGAATCCCTCTCTTCAATCTCCCACAGGTTAGTTCTTCGTACTGTTTTCTGTGTTTTGCCGCCCTTTTTTCTAATGGATTGTGTAGTAAATTTTGCTGTTAGGGTGTTTATCGGCCGAATTCGAGCTCTGAGTTTCGTTGGTTTTGCTCGAAGTCTCGGATTGCTGCTGCAACCATGCAGAATCGGGAGTCGATTTCGTATCTGACGCAGAAGGAAGCCGCTGAGGTCGATGAAATTCTCATGGGTCCTCTCGGGTTTAGCGTCGATCAGTTGATGGTTAGTTTTGTAATTGCTTGATTCATTGCTAGAAGTTCTTTTGCTGAGTTTCAATTTGTGAGTTCAAAATTGGTCTCATTCATCACTTTACAGTACTGAAAATTGAACTGTTGGTGTGTTTTTTTCTTCCCTTTTTTGTTTGTGTGTGTCCAGGAGCTGGCTGGATTGAGCGTAGCCACTTCAATAGCAGGGGTAAGCTTCCTCTTGGCGTTTATTTTCTGTTAAGATCGTTCACACTCGATGGTTAGTGAAAGTAGATTGTATTCTGGCTACTGTTTCGTTCTTGTTTATGAATGATTGTTATGAATCCTTATTTGGCTTATCTTGTTTGGTTAGTGAAAGTAGATATATGCAAGTTAACGTACAATGTTCATTGTTTGGCTAATCTTCTTTTGATTTGCAATTTTCATTGCTCTATATTTGAACCATTAATGAGCATCTTTCTTACGAGTTATAAGGTGGTTTGGGCCAATCTTTGTGTGAGATCCCACATTGGTTGGGGAGGAGAATGAAACATTTTTATAAGAGTGTGGAAACCTCACTCTAGCAGACACGTTTTAGTAACCTTGAGGGGAAACCCGAAAGGGAAAGCCCAAAGAGGACAATATCTACTAGCGGTAGGCTTGGGCTGTTGCAAATGGTATAAGAGCCAGACATGAGGCGATGTGCCAGCGAGGAGGCTGAACCCCGTAGGGAGTAGACACGAGACGGTGTGCCAGCAAGGACGCTGGCCCCGAAGAGGGTGGATTGGGGGTCTCACATTGATTGGAGAAGGGAACGAGTGCAAGAGAGGATGTTGGGCCCCAAAGGGGGTGGATTGTGAGATCCCACGTCGGTTGGGGAGGAGAACGAAGCATTCTTTATAAGGGTGTGAAAACCTCTCCCTAGCAAACGCGTTTTAAAAACCTTGAGAGGAAGCCCGAAAGGGGAAGTCCAAAGAGGACATATCTGCTAGCAGTGGGCTTAGGCCGTTACACTGTGTCTAGCTCAACCAAGTAGGATGAGGAGGTTAAATAGAATTTAAAAAGACGAACTTTTGTTTAGCAAATAGCTGAGAACTTCTGTTTTCCTCCCAAAAAATCAACAGGTTTACAAAGTCAATGAGTATAAGCGCGTTCTTGTTATCTGTGGCCCTGGAAACAATGGTGGAGATGGTCTCGTGGCTGCTCGTCATCTGTTTCACTTCGGATACAATCCATCAATTTGTTATCCAAAGAGGACTCCGAAGCCTCTTTATGCCGGTTTGGTTACTCAGGTTGTGTTTCTCAACCATAATTGTAATCTTTTCCTTGTTCATCACTAGTTTGGCTGAAGTTCTTATCTAATTTCACGGTTTTGTAGCTGGAATCACTGTCAGTTCCTTTCGTGTCTGTAGAGGACTTGCCTTCGGATTTGTCGAAGGATTTTGACATTATAATTGATGCAATCTTTGGGTTCTCCTTCCACGGTAATATCTTCCTGCTATACGCGCTCAATATATTATTTCAAAGAATTAAACTTTCGACCTTACCATCAATTAGTCATTTCTTCTTTAAGATGATCCTAAATTTGTTTCTAATTTGTGGGTTTTTGGGTCGGTTTGTGCATACCTCGATTACTTTCAGGTGCTCCAAGGCCACCATTCAATGATTTGATCCAAAGGCTTGTCTCTTTAAATGAGTACAAGGAAGCAAAGCAAAGATTTCCTGTTGTTGTTTCTGTAGATATTCCATCCGGATGGCATGTCGAAGAAGGGGATATTAGTGATAGCAGCTTTAAACCCGATATGTTGGTATGCTACCGTTCGAATTTTCTATGACCACCGTAGAGGTTTTTTCTTTAATATTTAATCATACAAATTTGTTTAAAATCCGATTAGATCATTAAACACTTATTTATGCTAGGTTTCTCTGACTGCCCCAAAGCTATGTGCAAAGAGATTCCATGGTCCACATCATTTTTTAGGTGGCAGATTTGTGCCACCGTCTATCGTGAGCAAATTTAACCTTCATCTTCCTCCTTATCCCGGCACGGCAATGTGTGTTCGTATAGGAAAGCCTCCACAAGTTGATATAGCTGCACTTAGAGAAAACTATATTTCTCCTGAATTTGTTGAAGATAATGTAGAGGCTGATCCTATTCATCAGGTGAATACTATATTCTTATCGGTGTTTGCTTTTATATTTCTGCCAGATCCTGTGTCGGTTGGTTGGAGAGGGGGAACGAAACATTCCTTATAAGGGTGTGGAAACCTCTCCCTAGTAGATGCGTTTTAAAACCGTGAGGCTAACAGCGATACGTAACGGGCCAAGGTAGACAATATCTGCTAGCGGTGGGCTTAGACTATTAAAACTTCCTTATTCGAAAAAGAGTCGTTTGTTAACTTTATTGTTTCTAGTAGTGAACCAGTAATTTTCTTGCAGTTCCGCAAATGGTTCGATGAAGCAATTGCTGCTAATTTACGGGAACCTAATGCTATGTCGTTGTCTACTGCTACGAGCGATGGAAAACCGTGAGCTTTGATTCTCTTCTTTTGGCATTCACTTAATTGAAGATCATTTTCTCCCTCGCTCAATTTGATAACCCTTTAATTTCTGGTTCACTTTGCTGCTTCAGATCATCTCGTATGGTTTTGCTAAAAGGATTTGATGAATATGGTTTTGTCTGGTTAGTATGCTAGACTATTATCATGTTGCAGCAAACAATTTTTTCCCGTGTGCCTTACAATAACTCCTCTCATATTGTTCGTCGTTATCTGCAGGTACACAAACTATGGAAGTCGGAAAGCACACGATTTAGCTGAAAATCCGCGTGCTTCGCTTCTTTTCTTCTGGGACGGTCTTAATAGGCAGGTGAAATAACAGCTTGCAGTTTTAGTTTGAGTTGAAAATGTCAGTAGGGAGGCCATTTTTTCTGCCCATAAATTCCTCGAGTAACTCACCCTTCTGTTTCCGTTCCTTGTGGATTCTAATTCATGGGTTCAACATATAGAAAATTAGGCGGTGAGCTTAGGTGGTTACAAATGGTATTATAGAGCCAATCACCAGGCGGTATACCAGTGAGGATGTTGGCTCCCAAGAGGGGGGTGGATTGTGAGATCCCACATCAATTGGAGAGGGGAACGAAACATTCCTTGTAAGGGCGTGAAAACCTCTCCTTAGCCGACGCGTTTTAAAACCTAGAGGAGAAGCCCGTAAGGGAAAGTCCAAAGAGGACAATATCCGCTAGCAATGGGCTTGAGCGGTTACATGTTCTTACCCTCGGTCATTAGCTTTTAGCATTTCCTCCGCTTCATAATGCTCATCCTCAATGCTTTCAGGCAATGCAAATGAATGTGCTTACTATATTAGATATTGTTTGATTGTTACCTTCTAGGTAAGAGTGGAAGGAACAGTGCAGAAAGTTTCCGAAGAGGAATCGGAGCAGTACTTCCACAGTCGTCCTCGTGGAAGTCAGCTCGGTGCAATCGTTAGCCCACAGGTCTGTATCAGTGCCATTCAATATATTGTAGATAATCAAAATGCTGAGATATTGATAGATTCATGATGTCGGTTTCTCATTCAGAGTTCTGTGGTTCCTGGAAGACATTTTCTCATTGATAAGTTCAAAGAACTAGAGGATAGATACTCGAATGGGTATGTGAATCAATATAAGCTCATATCTGATTCAAAATACAAATGATCTTTGATAATTCATTAAGGAAGATGTTCTTCTGTTTGCAGAAGTTTGATTCCAAAACCAAAATACTGGGGCGGATACAGGCTTAAACCAGAAACTTTTGAGTTTTGGCAGGGGCAGCCATCTCGGCTGCATGACAGGTTATTTTCAGCTCTCTAAGAACAGGTGGCTTTATGTCATTGGCCAAGTAGTTGAGTTGCGGCCTTGCAAGCCTTTCTGATACTTAACGTTCGAGCGATTGAGCGTTTGAGCGTTTGAGCCCTTCTCAATCTAACTATAACTCAACGGTTAAAATATATGAACGTTTGAGCTTTAAAAGATAATAAACAAAAGGAAATGCTCTTTCTTCTCACTCGTTTTTTATGCTTGTTTTCTCGACAGGTTGCGGTATTCCCCTTGCGAGATAGAGGGAAAAAAGGTTTGGAAGGTAGAACGGTTGGCTCCATGATTGCTTCCTCCGTTACATCGTTCATGTACCTTTTCTTTACTTTTCATGCTTGTTTCCCCTCCCCTCCCCTTTTGTGTTAACGTGGCTAATAAGTGATTACTGAATGATTTACTGAGTAATTACAATATTTACGGTTGCCATTAAATTACGTGACATGTGTTAAGAACTACTGACCTCCACAGTGGTATGCTACTATCTATTTTGAACATTAACTCTTATAGTTTTGCTTTAGTACGACTTTTAGGCCTCGTACTGATGGAGATATATTCCTTGTAAACGGTAACTCATGATCATCCCTTTAATTAGCGATTCTGGAATCACATTTTTTACTAAAATAATAACCCTTATGCAAGTGCATATAGATTAGGAAGAGGGTGTATGATGTCACGGTCCTACATTTTTTACCGTGCGGCGTCGTGATCTATACACGCTCACGACTAGCCTTAAGGGGAATTAAGCCCCATATATATTTTTCGCCCCGGCTTTGTGGCTTCGTCCGACCTTAGGCGAGGTTTGTCTTCGCCAATCGAATATCGCTTGTGCGGAATCCAAGCTTGTCCAACCACACACGCCGCCTGTGCGTGTATGTTCAATCGTCTGTGACACATCCGACTTGCCTCTACGCTAGGCCAACTCATTTGGCTCGACCTTGCCTCTATTCGGGCCAAGGTCTCTCAATACAACGTCACATCTCGTCTTGCCATCTTGATCCCCATCGACGGGGTCCATATGTCTTGACGCCATCCCGAGTCTCGGGATGTCGTTGGCCATCATAACTCGTTTGGTCGTGCCATCGAGAATGGGCCCGCGTGTCGTTCATCTCATCGGGGCTTCCCTAACATCCATCCATCCGGGTTCTATCGAGGCATAGGGCCTCCCGTGCCCATGTCGAGTCATTTACGGATACCGTACCGGATAGCGGGTGTATGTAGCAACCTCCAACACGCGGGCTAGGGCGCAATGCCGGCACACTCATGCCGTCCGGTACTGTCCTTCAAAAACCCATTTCAAAGGAAGTCGCCCGAGACACTCGTCTCGGCACGCTCGCCCACACTGTGACACACGTATGTGCCACAGGGTAGCTCACTTAGGCCATAGGGCCCAGGGGTGGTGGAGAGCTAACACCACACGTATGTGCCACAGGGTAGCTCACTTAGGCCATAGGGCCCAGGGGTGGTGGAGAGCTAACACCATGGTACCCCTATAGTACATTTTGAGCCATTTTCATTCTATAGACATGATTTTCGTGAGGTGTCATACGGTGTCGTGCATTGCCCGTCCAATGTCCGATTGACACCAAACTTGGCGAGCATTCATATTTCATATGGACGGACTTAACTCCCGAACCGCATGCCCAAATTCCTTCTGAAACTCCGACTTTTGAGGTTAAGGCCCGGGGCCCTACCCGGCCCTTCAACAAGCCTATCTTGTCCTCCATGTCTATGTTGATGTCTCTGTTATGCTTGTGTCTCAACATGTCTTCAATGCCCACTTTGCGTGGTGGTGTGTTGGATGATGCATCGTTCTCCTCGATCGCATCATGACATTCTTCTACGTTGGCCCGCATATGGCCGGATGGGCGTCTCTTGAGGGACGCCCCTTTGCTTGTCATGGCGTGAGAGTCACAACCTACTCTATGACACCATGGCTTCTAGAAGGGGCTTGATGGAGAGCACTGCTTCTGAATTACTTTTTTTTAATAAAAAAAATCTTACTCATATAAACGCCATTACTTATATTACTTGTATGGTAGATGTATTAAATACAAAATATCATTATAGAAATTAATTTTAATAATTTAAAATAGTATGAATAAATTCTATTTTTTTAGAAATTAAAGAGATAAAATTTGTAATTTAATGAAGAAAATATTTAAAAAAATATTAGAAATAAAAATAAAATAGGTATAGTATATGATTTAGAATAAATAATTAATTTTATTTGTTTTAAAAATATTTTTAAAATCATTCATTTTTTTTGTTTGAACAGGTGAATATTTCAACTCGAACCAACCTAAGCATAGTTTTAGTTAAGACGTATACTATCAATCAAAGAGACGAAATGTTCAAATTTCTCTAATCCATATTGAACCCAGAAAAAATTAAGCAATCCGAGCATAGTCCAGCGGCTAAATACATCGATAATCTCTTTTTCAAAACGACATGCTCGGAAAAAAGTAGCTGGCGAGTAAGTTGATGATGTCCCAACATTGGGTACCCTACAAAACAGTTGAAATAACTTTAAATGTTGCTCCCCCTATCTCTATCCCTAAACTTGACTTCATATTCTTTGCATTATCACCCAAAAAGTTGCTTTTTAAGCTTTCTTTTGACTAACTTGAATTTGACACTCTTGGAAATTATGATATAAAAAACTTTGTGTTAAAATGGGATTTGGACCAATCTTATTTAATATTTTACAAGTGGGAGATTGTTGGGTCAATCTCACCACAAAGTGGTTGGGAGCTTTTGCAATAGAGATTGATTTGAACCAATTATATGTGTTGAATGATTTCAACGCCACTTACTTTGTCCATCAATATCCTTATTCCAACCAAACCCGACTCGGATAGGTTAATTTAAACCTAAGGTCATTCGAGATGACTTATAACAATCTAAGCCCGTTAGTAGATATTGTCTGTTTTGACTCGTTACATATCATCGTCAGTCTCACCGACGTGGGATCTCACAATATACTTCCTTTGGGGGCCCATCATCCTCGCTAGCACACCGCCTAGTGTCTGGCTCTTATACTAATTATAACAACTCAAGTCCACTGCTAGCATATACTATTCGTTTTGGTTCGTTATGTATGATCGTCAGACTCACAGTTTTAAAAAGGATATGTTAAGGAGAAGTTCCTACATTTTTATAAGGAATGTTTCATTGCTCTCTCCAACCGACGTGGGATCTCACACGACTTTTCTTCATATTCGAGATGAATACACAAGAAGTTTGTAAAATTTCAAATGGGTTATTAGATTATGGGGCTTAGAACTGTAAATTGTAAAATAATTAATATTTTAAGAATTAATAATATTTTATTTAAATGAGTAAAATAAGTAATATTTTAAGAAATAATAATATTTTATTTAAATGAGTAAAACAAGTAATATTTTAAGAAATAATAATATTTAATTTAAATGAGTAAAATAAGTAATATTTTAAGAATTAATAATATTTCATTTAAATGAGTAAAATAAGTAATATTTTAAGAAATAATAATAATTTATTTAAATGAGTAAAAAGGTATGGATAATTAAATGAAGTATGGTAAAAGGGATGGGAAAGGCAGCAGAGTTTAGTGGTTGATGTGAGTGCTTAGTTCAGGCATGAATTTAGTTTGAGGGAGTTTATTATATTATAGTGGAAGACAGCTCACACACCCTTCTGCCTTCACTCACCTTTTCCTCCCCCCACTCCACTACTACTTCCCATTTCTCTCACATGCTTATTTCTCCTTTTGTCTTTTCCTTTTTTTGCTCGGTCTCATTATCTCGATAATTTTGTATCAATCAAGCCTACCACCGTTAGAAGATATTGTCCGCTTTAACTATGTGATATCCCACATTCGTTGGAGGAGGAGAATGAAACACCCTCTATACAGGTGTGAAAACCTTTCTGTAATAGATGCATTTTAAAGCCTCGAGGGACAGTCCAAAAAGGACCATATCTACTAAGTGTGGGCTTCAGCTGTTACAAACTTGTTACGTATCGCCGTCAAACTCACAGTTTTAAAATGCATCAGGAGAAGATTTTCACACCTTTATAAAAAAATGTTTCGTTCTCTCTTGGAGGATAGCGTTCTTGCTGGCACATCGCTCAGTGCCTGACTTTGATATCATTTGTAACAACCTGAGCATGCATACTACTAGCACATATTGTCAGCCTCAAATTGGATTTAGAAAAAGTCAAATATTTGACCAAAAAGGTAGGGTTAAAAAAACTTGAAGATGCTTTAAAGGCACTTTACAAAGCATCCCATCAGAAATATTCTAGCACTTGATAACTGGGGAAGAGAATGGTCTGCCTAAGGGAAATCAAATGGAAATCCAGCAAGAACACAAAGGCTGCAGAAGAGTATATATCATCATTCTTCTGTCCATATCATTTCTCCTTCTACCAAATAAATTCAATGTATTTGGTTATGATCACAATAATTGCGTTTCTTTTTACTACTATACTCTTTCTCATCCAATACCTATTCACCCCCAGAAAAATTCAATCAACACCATTGAAATGGAAAACTATTCAACAGGGAACGGTGATTGTTCTAACCTCCTCGAATAATTTCTCGAAAAGGCACTCTCTTTAGGTAACAGCCTAAGTTCACTGCTAGTAGATATTGTCCTCTTTGTCCTTTCGGGCTTTCCCTCAAGGTTTTTAAAACGGTCTACTGGAGAGAGGTTTTCACACCCTTGTAAAAATGTTTCGTTCTCATTCTCCTCTCCGAATGATGTGGGATCTCACAATCCACTCCCCTTCAGAGTTCAGCATCCTCACTGACACTCGTTTACTTCTCCAATTGATGTGGGACCCCTCAATCCACTCCCTCTTTCGAACCCAATGTCCTCGCTCAGTGTATGGTTCTGATACCATTTGTAACCGTTCAAGCCCACCGCTAGCAGATATTGTCCTTTTTGGACTTCTCTCTTTAGACAATACACGGAATACGAAAGAGGGAGAAGGGTGAGATTGGTGGGAGAAAGGAAAACTTGCCACTACACAACATAAGGTTAAACAAGAAAGCAAAGTCCTCTCTCCCCATACTGATTCAATGGCATATAGTCATATCCCACTTAAGATCTTTTACCTCCTGCCAGGAATCGTTCCCTTCTCATTATGAGAGAGAAAGAAGAGAGAGCCCATCATTATTAATGGCTGCTTTATAACGCAAACTCAGGAGGCTCATCAAATAATTGATCTACAGTGACCCCTAGTTAAAAATGGCCAATACAAAGTCTATTCAGCAAACAAAACTAGCAAATTTCAGCACAACCTTATTTTACCTTATCTAGGATGCTCAGATAGCTCTATATTTGCCTATATATCCTCTTTTGAGCACATTTTTGTTGGTCCTGTGTGTTATATGCAACTGCAAGATGGCATAAAACCACATAGGACCGACCGATGCCCTCCCGGGTTCCTAAGATGCCCTCCCGGGTTCCTAAGATTCAACTACTTCAATCTAAGGAAGGAGAGGAGAGGGGCGGGGAGCGTCAACGAAAACTGGTTCGCTTTGCTATCACAAAGAAACGGAGAGGAAAAAGGAGGAAAAAAAAATCAGAGACAGTACCATTATTCTATGGAAATTCTGTCCATGCATAATTTTGGCATTTATTACCCATCCATCTCACATTTTCTGATAAATAACAATAGTAAACTCAATAACCAGGGGCCTACACTACTAATACACCTGTTTAGAAATAAACAACATTTAGCTAAAGAGGCCGGGTCTTTCAATCCTCACATCTTCTTACCATTTGAATCAAAATAAATGGACTAATGTTTCTTGTAAAGCTGAAGTACGCGTACCTGTGTCATCCCCTTGCTAGCTATCCGCTGCCTGGAGGTTGGAGAGATATTCATAGATGACTGATCCTCCAAACCTTGCAATGCTTTTCTATCTTGATTCAATTGATAAAATGACCAATAATTGGTATCTAAGCTTTTAATGCAGCTCTCTACGACCCATGCCTCCTCCAGCAGCTCTAGTTTGCAGTTACTGAATATAGAAATGAAGAATTAAACGTGAACAATTAGAAACAAACTTATAAGAAAACTTGTTTAGCCGGACGAACTGTAAAGAGATTGATCCTCAGCAACTAAACCACTCTTCAAAGTGTCAGGAAGCTCCATATCTCAGATGAGATGCTTTCGTTCTTAAGTTCTGGCTCCCGGAACCATCATAACCATCCCCATGTAAAAACTGGCATCCAACTTTCTTAAGTGGGTATACGTGAATTCTTTTTTAGGTATTGAAGAATAACCCCTTGACAAGCAGTAAGAAACTTACCGCACAAAATTGTAACCTTGCTCAGTGACAGTTGAAACTTTTAGTAGTTCAATATCCTATAGGATGTCAACGAACTTAGGAGCATCGTCCCTCGGCCCCTCAAGAGATCTATACATATATAACACCTGAACATGGTTCTCCATATCCTCCACCTGAATATGGTTATCCACTTCCTCATCGTTTTCATTCCTCATCACCTCAACCACTAAGTGAGGCATGGCCCTGGCAACCTCTTGGCAGCCTTGGCGAGACAATTTACAAGCCGACATCCAGAGGAATCTCATATTGTAGTAATGATGTAAACCAGATTGCAACCCTCCATTGCCAAATGGACTATCTCTAATCTCAAGTTTTTGCAATCTAAGACAACCTTCAAGCACAAATTTCAATCCCAAATCACTATCTCCAGCAAAAGCAACTGATAGGGTGCGTACCAGTTTTCCATACTTCCCGATGTAGCTGAAAGCACGATCGGTCAACAATCCAGAGATAGCAAGCCTGGTGAGCTTCTTACAATTGATAACAATGGCACCAAACCCTTCATCCATGGGTTCTCCAGTTTTATGGTCTGGCTGGTGTCGCCCCATAATGCATAGCCTAAACACCACAAGATCTTGGCAGTTCTTTGACATAGCAATCACAGCTGCATTTGTCATTCTCTGGCAAAAGTAGAGGATATATTGCAATTTCCTGCAACCCTCAGATATTGCTTGGAAGCCGACTTCAGAAATTGGGCCTTCACCGTCTTCTCGAGGATCAACAGGAAAAACCCTAAGTTCTTGCAGATCCTTACAAGTTGAAGCAACAGCTTGAAGTCCTTCATCACATATTGAATCAAGAGCCTGCAATATACAGATTAAGAAGATTATAGACTTCGAAAGGCAAATTCCTTCCCATAAGCTACCTGTACTCAAGATAACATACCCAGAAAGTCTGGAGCTTATGACAGTGGCTTATAACTGGTTTGAGTTGTTCAGCAGATATATTTGCATAGCTCAAGTTCAGAGTAGTGAGATTAGCGCAAGCTGGATAGATACATGGTAGATAATCAGGTAAAATGTCCTTGAATCCAGAGAGACAGACTAGGGACTTGCAAGCAGCAAAAGCAGCGGCATAGTCGGGCTCTGGCTCCCCATGGATCATGGCCTCTGGGTTACAGAACGAACCAGTTCCAAGATGTGTTAGTTGTGGAGCCCGAACTATCAGGTGGTATAGCTGTGCAATGGAAACATAACGGTTCACTCCAAGTTTCTTCAACAACGGGGATCTACTCACCAACATTTCTAATGCCTCAAAATTGATGGGGCATTCAACGCAATCAAAAACTAGAGACTCAAGACAGGTTTCATTCTCTGGGAAACAAGATATCCAATCTACTTCATCATCTGCTATGTCAGATTCAATCAGATCAAGCACTCGAAGCTGCCTGAAAGATAAATCAAGCAGCCTAAGTTGAATAAAACAAGCCATTAATTCAAGAACTTGAACAAAAGCTCCACGTTAGTTGCCCCTCTCAAGATCTTATCAAAATTCAGTATCCTTCAAGAACATCAACAGGCCTTGCTTAGGTTAAATAAATGCCACATTACTCAAAGAAATGATCCCAAAAACAAACAAAACGTAAATTAAGTAATGCAAACTCAAGGGATATAATTCCAAGCTCATAATATTGATAGCAACAAAGAGAAGAAGATGAAATCTGCTTGCGTACCTACACCTAGAAGCAACCACAGCAATCCCGCTGGTGCCGAACCCTTCGCAGCAAAAAAGCACAAGCTCCTTGAAACCAGGGAAAGACTCGGCAAGTAGCGCCAGATCATCGTCAGTGACTGACATACGCTTCAAGTAGATTCTCTCAAGCCAAGGATAGGATTTAGCCATGGCCGCAACCCAAGGAGTAAAGTGAGCTCCCCAATTGGGCGGCATCAAGTTGAAATCCGAGAACCTCGGCCTTCCCTTGATCGTCACTGACCGAACTCGATTAAACCGCGACGTAACTCGGCGAGGAGAAACCGCATAACAATTTCCGATGAACAGCTCAGATCGAGTAAGGGCTTCAACCCCATACCATGACTTACAAACAAGCGAAGCCGCGTTCCGGTCATGGCGAGAAGTGAGAAAGTGAAGCACGTTCTCAAGAACATTGTGAAGAGTATTCTCAACAGAACCAGAAGCAGCTAAATGGCCATAACAGCCAGTACAATTACGAGTTTTACTAGCAGATTCAGCAACAGCGCCGCCGCCGCCGCCTAGATCCAAAGGTAAAGATCGATCGTCATCCTCCGACATTTCTTCAGCTTGTTCCACTCACATGAGCAACAAATCACACTCCAACACCTTCAAAAATCCTCATAAACAAACCCCTCTCAATCAGATTTCAGCCAAAAAGAAAAATCAACACTGAATCAGATCAAAGAGGGGCTCAAAAGTGAATAAGAACACATGAAGAGAGAGAAAATGAAGATCCAGAGAGAGAGAATCCATACCTTTATTTGAGAGGACTGTGAAATGATATGGAAGTTTGGAGGGATTCGTTTAACTGATCACAAGGACAATGGAGTGTAAACAGTCGGCTCTCCTGTCTGTATCCATGGACATTGGGATTCTTCTTGCCTCTCTCTATAATTTTTTTTTTAATTATATTTATTTTAATCTCTCTCTCTCCTTTCAAATGGCTCCCTACACACCTGCTCTCTTATTAGGGGCTTCCCCTCTAAATCTTGTCCTTTCATTTCACTTCATTATTTTTTTTTTTTAAATAATAATAAATTTCTCAATATTAATTGCCCCTAAAACTACTCTTGCCTTTCTGGGTCGATCTAACCTTTTCCATTTCTAATAGACCTGTTTTAAAATCTTGAGGTAAACACCAAAAGGGAAAATTCGAAGAAGACAATATTTGCTTACAATGGGCTTGGATTGTTATAAATGATATCAGAGTCAGATATCGGGCAATATGCCAATGAGAACGATCGGCTCTCAAGAGGGTGAATTGTGAGGTCCACGTTGGTTGAAAATGAAAACAAAGCATTTCTTACTTGTGTGGAAGTCTCTCTTTAGTAAATATATTTTAAAACCTTGAGAAAAAATATTTGCTAGATTATAAATTTATGCTTGAAAGTAATACTTTAGAAAATATATTACCTCATGATATAAAAAAATATTATATGATTTTTTTTTAATGTGACATGTGATATAATTAATCCTATATGCAAATGTTAAACATGTCAAATCAACTTTATGTTATATGATTAATGGCGTTGATGAATCTCAATTAAAATTTAATTAGTAGGATTTTAAAATTTATTGATGTCCATCCAGTCCTATTTTATTTCTCTACGCGTAAAATTTGATGATTGAAATTGGGATATACTCTCTTCTTCTCCGACTCCATTTATTTTACATATTCCCTCCCACTTGGAGTTAATTTTCGCAAGTCTCGAACTTTACGGGTAAAATAGATATTTCTAATTCTACCTCTAAAAAATGGGGAAAAAAAGTAATTTATGCTGAATTATACCTTAGTTTTAAATTTTAAATTATTAACCGCTAAATATAGTTCAATTAATTAAGATATTTATGAACCTTATAATTTAATTATTAACAAAAGAAAAAATGTGAATGGAAACTTTGGTCAAATAATACGAATATTCAGCTTAGACATATGGTAATGGGATTAAACTATCACGTGGTGGTTAGAGGAAAATATGAAGCTCAATCTTGCAGATTTTGTATGATCATTAATATTAAATTATTATGTCTATATTAAATAAATTGTACTTTAAAAAAAATAAAATAAAAGCTACATAAGAAAATTAATAATATATATTATTATATCATATTTAACCGTTTATTATATGTTACCCACTTTACTATAAAGTTTATAATTATCAAATTTAATCCTCCTAAATTCTCATATCCCATCGATTGTATTAGCATTTTCTTAATTATTGCATTATTAATTGATAATATTTTGAGTATGGTTAAATAAACCTTCTATTTTCGGATTGGAATGCGGATTCAAATTTTTTTTATCACATTGAATTGTTTATTATATGTTATTGCAAACTCACGGCAAATATTGAATGACGACTACTAGATTGTGAACAACTGTGACTCGAAAAAGAGGCTTGCACTTCTGTGAAAGGAGAACGACAATGTGTTTATATATACTCAATTCGGGTGGGATCAATTGACCTGAAGTATACTAAGCTCGGACTTGGTCCGACCCAAGTTTCTAGAAAACTAAATCCAACCCAATTTTGTAACCTATCTAATCTAATCTAATCCTTAGAATTCGAGTTAGATCGGTTCGGATTGTCATGTTCATTGTATACTAAAGTTTGTATGTTATCTCTAAAATATATTTGAAATTTAAAAAATTTAATATCTTTACATTTTTAATAAAAACTTAAAAAAAAAAATACATATTTTGTTTAAATTTTTTATAAAAAAAATATTTTTAAAATTTGAAGAGTATTTTTTAAATAAAATAATAATAATTTCTATCTTTCACAAAATTTTGAAAAGATTAATTTTTGGGAAAATACATAATTCAAATATTATTTTTAAATAATTTTAGAAATTTTAATAATAATATGTGAAGGCTAAGGTTATTATTTTTGGTCGAAATATAATAATTAATGAAAATAGAGATAATTTAATTGTGTATAATTTATCTCGATTTTTTAAATTTTAATACTAAAAAAAACTCTAACCGTATCCTACCAGGCCTTCCCGGGTGAAATCATTTTTTTCCGATCACACTATCTTCAAATTCAGCTCCGTGTTGTTACGGTTGGCGCTCTCCTATGGCTGGATCGTTCTCTCGAGTGCTTTGAGGCCTTTCCTCCGACCTCCATTGATCCTGTCCACTTGTCTATCCATCCATCTCTACTTCTGTTCTTCCGCGGCAGCGTCTATCAAGTTGTAAGTATACTCAAGATTGCCTCTGAAAATGACTTTCGTCTAGGTTTTGGCGTAACTTGGAGGTCGTTTATGTTTGCTAACAGTTTGTTTATAGTCAATGGATTCTTAGGTTTTCTGATCGTGTACGAAAGATGGTTGAGAGATGGCGGCTGAGGGGATCGAGATGACTGAGGATCTCACGAGAAATGTATAATGTGGTAGTATCTTGAGTTCTTGATTTTCTTTTGATTCTTAATGTTTACTTTTGTGTACTGTCTTCCCGTCCTGTAAATTACATTACGAGTAGCATTGCGCGCCAATTTTCGAACAGTGTCGCGAACTTTTTCGTTAGTTCGTTAATGTTTCCACTTATGATCCATGTTTGTAGAATCATAATTGATCTGAAACAGTAAGTAGTCCAAGTTAGCTGTGTGCTAGAACCACAACTTCCATATTTTCGAACGCATTTCACGATCTTTCTTTTTCTCCTTTTTGTTTGACATTGAAAACAGGGCCTAGTGTTACTAATGCCGCTGCGAGAAGAATTACAGGAGGAACTGAAGTTCTCACTAACGTTTGTTGTGAGAAAATGTTCCGGGAGAATTGCGAGAACGCACCAGAACAGCAGCTAATGATGGCTTCTGAACACTACTACCTGTTCGCATCTGCTGACCAGTTATGCGAACGCTATATCGTCATCTGCCAAACTTCATTGTGTCGCGATGATAAGCCTCTTCTCCATGAAGATGGCGAGCGTGTATTGGAGCTCTTACGAGGTATATTTGATTTTTTTTCACATTGGAGTCTGAATTGCGTGATTTTATGTACTTTTCTCGCTGGCTTTTGTGGTTAATTTATCCACTAGCTCTCATTTTGGTATACGAACTCTCCAAAATAGACACAGTAAAACAGAATATGAACTACTAAAAGAAAAGGCTGAGCTGCGATTGGTTTCGAGATGTCCCTAAATATTATTATTAGACAAAAAGCTTCTGAAATGAGAACTTACAAGAATAATGATATGGAAGTTTTTCTTTCTCTCAATTTGTATCTTTTACTTGAGGTAAATTCAACTCTGAAGTCAAAGCGGTGGATGTAACTTCTAACATTTTCCAAAAAAATTATTGAGCGAATGCATCAAAATGCACGTGGTCTTGCTTGTTCTTGTTGCTTTGTATGTTTGTCATTTTGACGATGCTGTAAAACTGAAAAGTCGGATGATCAGAAGTCAGACATCTGATATATGGATTTGCATGTTTGTGGTTTTGCAAGGGTCCTTGAGATGCTGAAGGAGTTATTCATTCTGAACATTTCTCTTTTATAGGCTTGGGAGTTGCGATGCAACTTATATTTAGCATAACACTGCTCCATAGCCTGTAATACACATCCACCTCTCCCCCCTCTCCTTTCTCGTCTGACTTGGCTACTTTTGAATATGGAGTGAGATCACTTGCTGGAATTTAGGTTAAGATCAAGCATGGGTAGACCTTTTGTAGTTGCTGGAATTCACGACTCTCCACAATGATATGATATTTCTTACTTATAAACGCATGATCATTCCTTAAACTAGCCAACGTGGGACTCCCTCCTAACAATCCTCCTCTCGAACGAAGTACACTATAGAACCTCCCTTGAGGCCTATGGAGCCCTCAAACAACCTCTTCTTAATCGAGGCTCGACTCATTCTCTAGAGAAGTATACCCTTTATTCGACACTTGAGTCACTTTTGACTACACCTTCGAGGCTCACAACTTCTTTATACGACATTTGAGGATTCTATTGACATGGCTAAGTTAAAGTCATAGCTATGGTACCATGTTAGGAATTACGATTCTCAACAATGGTATGATATTATCCACTTTGAGCATAAGCTCTCATGCCTTTGCTTTGGGCTTCTCCAAAAAGACGTCGTACTAATGGAGATGTATTCCTTACTTATAAATGCATGATCATTCCCTAAATTAGCCAATGTGAACTCCCCTCAACAATCCTCAACATTCATTTAGTATTTTAACTTCAGAACTTCAAATTACCTGCCTGTAGCATATTTTCGGAAACTATATAATAAACAACCATAACGACTATGATGTTCTGCTGATAAAGATTCAAGGGACTTGTTCTGTACTATGTCCTGCAGGCGCATAGTACGGGTTGTGAGGAATATATGAGCTTTTACATCATTCATTTGAGAAACTGTCTAAATTTTTTATCGTCTGCTGTAACTTTTGCGATGGATTTATGATTTCATTCTAATGTTGATAGGTAGGTCATCCAATAAATCCACTGAAGGCAGACAACTCATGACCAATTAAAAATCAATCCCGCAGAGAAATGAACAGGTTATCTCTGTGGTCCATGCATTCTGGTCAATGGGGTGTGTTCTCTGCTAGTGCTCTGAAAAAGCTTAAAAGAAGTTTTTCAGCAATTCAGTTCATGATGGGCACGGGTCAAAATTCCCACCGTCATAAATGAAATCGAATTTCCGGTATTGCCTAGTGGTTGATCTTTGGTGAGATGTTATATCTTGTCAAGTATCTGGAAAGGTACAATAAGAATGTGATACAGTCACAGTATATGGAATCACAAATTCAGTTCAGATGAACAAGGGTTAAAATTTGAGCAGCATTAATAGAATTTGCCAACGCCGTCTAGCAGTTGATCATCGGTCAAGATTTTATATCCTGTCAAGGGCATAGAAAGGTACAATTAAAATTAAAACATTGAAGGATGTCATGGTATATGAGACAGCAATTTCAGTCTGTGATAGAACTTTGGTTCACCATCATGAAGGGAAATTATCCATGTTGCCTAGCAGTTGATAATAGAGGTGAGGATGCTAAATCTTGTCAAAATTTTGTGCATTGAAGGATGTCATGGTTTGTGGAATCCCAAACTCATTTCTCTGTTCGTTATTTGCGATTTACATTGTATTTAATATGCATAAATACAAACAAAATACTAAATGATAAGCTAAGCTATCAATGGAACCTATAATGTCATAAATGCTAATCACAGGTGTATTATCATATACTTTTGCTAGGCAACTTGATATTTACATATGAATCTTTTGTTTCCTAGCATGGAAAGAGCTGAATTTAAAGGCTTTGAGGTGACAAGTTTAGAAGAATCGTCAATTGCAAGTGTGAAGAAAACACTATCAAAAAAGAAACTGAAAGAGCTTACATTTTTTTGCCTTCTTTTTTGTATGTTTTAGGGTCCCGAGCTAATGAAGCATTGTGCAGAATGGACGGCTATAATGAAGTTGAAGTCGCAGGGCAAACCGGTTGGAATCATACAGAGAGTTAAGTATCCACTAACACTTTTAACAGTAATAGCATTAGAACTGCTTGAGCTTACAAAGACATTTTAGTTTATCAATTTAGGACTAAAATAAATCAATAAAATACAACTAATAAGCTCAGATAGAATAAATGGGTCCACCCACTGCGGAATTAGGAGTTTTATAACCCCTTTGAGCTTGGGCTTTAAGAGGCACTCTAGTCTCGCAAGTATGCTAGGACCCGCTTAATGAGTATGGGGGTTGTTAGCCATTGCATGCGTATGGTTGATTAAGTTAAAAAAATATTAGAAATATCCTGTATGGTTGTCTTAAAATATTGCATCAAAAGAAAAATAATCTAAAGTAGGTTAGAATGTATAATATCTTTAACCAAAATTATGTATAGGCCGGCATATGATTTTTCTTTTGTTGTTTTTGCTGTTGAGATTTGCAACGTTATTATCATTTTCAAGTTAAAAAAATATCATTTTTAGTAGGTTCTAAAGTTTGAGGGGGATTGATGATAATCATTTTGTTTCTATGTTATCTACTTGTGAAAAGTAAAGTTACCCGATAATACATCTTTATTCAATAGATTGGCTTCATCGAAGATAGAAGAGGCTCCTTCTTTTGTATTTATTCATTTTTTCCATTAGATAAGGACCCCATCTAAAACTTTTTGTATTATTGGACATCGACATAGAAGAGGGGGAATGAATATCATAAACCCTTTTTATTATTGGATACTGGCACTGAATCCACAAAAAATAGTTAATAAAAAAACTTAATTTAATTTTATAGTTAAAACTTCCAAGATTTTATTTTAGTCCTAGTTTCTTTTTCCATGTGTTCCAGTCCTACAAAATTGATCAAAATTATGTTGGCCATTTTTCTTGTCATAATGATGATCCATTTTGAAATTTGATATTTTTTTTTCATTTTAGTTTGTTAACCAGCCTTTTATATATATAAATATATATATACAATTATTTACTGCAAGTAACAATTTCGTCTCTAAATTTTAATATTTAATAATTTTATATTTAAATAAAATCAAAAGAAATTATGTCCCAAATATATCATATTCATGATATATGTGGAGAGTTGTCTTAATAATGAAACTCCATTTCTGATTATTCTCCAACTTTGACGAGTCATAGACTTTAGAACGTGCACAAAGGCCAATCGCAGCTTCAGATTGAAAGGAATGGCTTAATCGGTTGCTGGAAATAGCTTCTTGCCATCGTGGGGTTTCCTCCATGGAAGGTAAATATTTTCAATTCAAGAATTTTTTTGAGAAAGATTTGCTTTTAAGATTGCATATGACATGACAATAGCAAATAGATATTGGGTTCAATCTTTCAAAAAAAAGAAAAATCGCTAGATACAGGTTTGGTCCCTATAAAAGAAAAATCGCTAGATACATGGTTTGGTCCCTATATTAGTGTGTTTCTTCAACTTAGTCCTTATGTTTAAATTTTTTTTTAAATGTGTTGATGGTAAGGTTTAATGACAAGAATTTAGAGACCAAAATTTCTACCAACTTCTTGGAAATTTGTTGAAAAATTAGAATTAGAAAATTCCTTTTAAGTAGATGAACTCATTCATTTTCTAATACTTTTCCAACTCAATAGGGATATATTATACAATATAAGCTTATTATAAATTCAATTTTAATATTTATCAAGAGATGGGATATAATTTAAAAAAATGTTAACAAAACATGAGGGATTAAATTGAAAATTCTAAAACGATAGTGATTCAACTAAGAAAAAAAAATACCTAAACGTTTAGACTAAAACACATATTTAGCCTATAAATTAAGGTAAAAGCCACTTATTTAATCTTGAATAAACTTCAACTTTATAAAACTTCCAATAAAATACCCGAACTCTAGTTATACAAATGTTTGAACTAAAGTACTCAATTTGCACAAATTAAACTAGTAAAAAAAATCCAAATGTTTAACTAAAATATATAACACATGAGAAGAACTAATATGCATGAGCACGACCAGAATAGCATCATTCATCTACAAAAATGACCCAACTAGCCAAAGAGTAGAGAAAACATAGTTTGGAAACTCCATTAATAAAAAAATATTAATGGTACCATTAATTTTAATGTAAGTTCTTGTTGAATTGGATATAATTAAAATTTCAATGTTAAACTAGGAATAGAAGTAAAATTTTCAAATTTCAAATAACTTTTTAAGTTGGACATGCTAACATTTTGACAAATTCCTCCATAACTATAACAGAAGAAAATGTAACGCAAGAATGCATTTGGAGTTTAGATAAAAACGAGTTCCATGTATATAAATATTACCAGAATTGAACATTGAATCCATCACTGACGTCTGTGGTGTCTTCATCTCTAAATTTTGCATCTTTACAATTCTCTAATTTCTTTAAATTTATACAATTGGTCTTTAATTTCTTTTAACTTGTAACAAATGATTTGACCCATTGAAGGGCAAACGAAAAATCTAATGGAAAACAAAATCTTAAAAAAATCAAAAACTGGGGATTCTTTACTGTTATTTTGCTTTTGTTATTCTCTTTCAGACATATTATCTGGGATTAGTTATAATGGACTAGGATGTTCTATATTAAGGGGGAAAAAAGTAATTTCCGTTCCTGACTTCTAGGAACTTCAATTCTTATCCTTTCGCATTTCCAACCAATTACATTCGACCTCCTCATGATTCCCCCTCCTTGTATAGTAAAAGGGAAGGGTAGTGTGGGGTGGTGGCAGAAGGAGCATACGCTGTTGCCAACTTGCTTAGACAACATAAGGTTAGACAAGAAAGCAAAGCCTCAGCTTTGCTTCCCCACACATTCAATGCCATAGATGCACAGTCAGAACCCACTTTGATGATGGCATTGTCTTTTATCTTCTTCCTACCAAGGAGTGGTTCTTTGTTTCTCTCCTAATAATGAAAGAGAGATAGAGCCCACTGTGATGGATGGCTCCTTTAAAACGCAAACTCAGGGGATGTGACAAATCATCAAATGATTGACCCTACAGTGACCTATGAAAACGCCCAATCCACATTAAACTCTTCAACAACCCAACCCCCTCTCTTCTTCTAATCTTAACAATCTCCCACAGTTACACAAATTCAACTTACTTCACTGTGAGAAAGGAGGGTTGAGGGGCCTCCAAGTTGTACTTCTATAACATCTTCCCATAGTCATCAATGTCCATATCACTCTCAATTGATATCGAAATCAAAAGCAGAGACCTTACCATTAGCTAGCATATGGGAATTCTGTCCATCAATATGTTTTAGCATTTATTACTAATCTAACATTTGCTGATAATTAAACAATATTAAACTCCACAATCAGGTTCTACACTTGGATAAAGAAAACAACATCATCATCAATTTTAGGAAAGAAAAGAATCCTACCTCGGTTTTTAGTGTCCGTCCTCTCATCAATGGCCTAAACCATCTACCGTAGGAATCTAGATAAACAAAAGTTTCTTGTAAGACTGTTTACCTGCGAGGATCCCCTTGCTATTCATGACCTTTAGAGAAGATTTTGTTCTTAGTTCATCAACCCTCCAACGTTTTAAAGTTCTGTCTCGATTCGATGGACAACAAGACCCACTTTAAGGTTATCAAAGGCTTAAAGTCAGCTCTTGCTCTACAACCCCTGCCTCCTCTGAACCTCTCTTGTTTACAATTACCGAATGCAGATTTGCAGAAACATTAAGAGTTCGAAAAATACCGATATGATAACATTCTTTAGTCTGATGAATCGGATAGGAATATGCTTCAATATTGAACTTTCTGCGGCGATTCTGACCCAATAAACAGATGGTCAAGTTTGTTAAGAGGGGAGACAGGAATCTTGTATAGGGCGGGGTAAAGGACCTTCCTGGAACAGTGTGATCTTGCTTAACCAGACGAAATAATAGGGAATCTAAAATTCTATAGGATGTCTACACATGCTGGAGCATCATCCCTTGGCCCTTCGAGAGATCGATACATATACAACACAGGAACATAGTTCTCCAAATCACCCATCTGAGGAAGGTGATCCGACTCCTGATTATCATTCCTCATCACTTCAACCACTAAGTGAGGCAATGCTCTGGCAACCTCTTGGCAGCCATAGCGAGACAATTTACAATCTGACATCCAGAGGAATCTCATATTGTAGTAATGATGTAAACCAGATCTTAAGGCTGCATCGCCAAAAGGGCTATCTCTGATTTCAAGTTTTTGCAATCTATGACAGCCCTCGAGCACATATTTCAATCCCAAATCACTGTTTCCAGCAAAAGCAACTGATAGGGTTCGAACCAGTTTTCCGTACTTCCCGATGTAGCTGAAAGCACGATCTGTCAATAATCCAGATATAGCAAGCCTAGTGAGCTTCTTACAGTTGATAACAATGGCACCAAATCCTTCATCCATGGGTTCTCCAGTTTTATGGTCTGGTTGGTGTCGTCCCATAATACACAGTCTAAACACCACAAGATCTTGGCAGTTCTGTGACATAGCTACCACAGCTGCATTGGTCATTCTCTGGCAGAAGTAGAGGATATATTGCAATCTCCTGCAACCCTCAGATATTGCTTGGAACCCCACTTCCGAAATAGGGCCTTCGCCATCTTCTCGAGCATCGGCAGGAAAAACTCTAAGTTCTCGTAGTTCTTTGCAACTTGAAGCAACAGCCTGAAGTCCTTCGTCACTTATCGAATCAAGCGCCTGCAATAGAAAGGAAAAAAGGTTAGCTCTGCATGCCAGATTTCTTCCCAACTTGATATCTCTATCCAAAGATCACATACCCAGAAAGTCTGGAGCTTGTGGCAGTGGCTTATAACTGGTTTGAGTTGTTCGGCAGTTATATTTGCATAGCTCAAATTCAGAGTGGTGAGATTAGCACAAACTGGATAGATACAAGGTAGGTAATCAGGCAGAATGTCCTTGAACCCAGAGAGACAAAGTAAGGATTTGCAAGCAGCAAAAGCTGAGCCATAGTCAGGCTCTAACTCCCCATTAACCATAGCCTCTGAATTACTGAATGAACCAGTTCCAAGATGTGTTAGATGAGGAGCCTGAATCATCAAACGGTAGAGCTGCGCAATGGAAACGTGACGATTCACCCCGAGTTTCTTCAACGATGGGGATCGACTCACCAACATCTCCAGTGCCTCAAAATTAATGAGACACTCTACACAATCAAAGATCAGAGATTCAAGACAAGTTTCCTTCTCCGGGAAACAAGATATCCAATCCACTTCATCATCAGTTACGTCTGATTCAATCAGATCAAGTACTCGAAGTTGCCTGAAAAAAAACAAGATTACCATTAGTAGCCCCCTCCACATCCCCACCAAAATGCAGCATCCTTCTAAACCATTCTACAACACATCTTTACTTGAACTCAAAGAATCCATCACCCGCAGCACACATTTTTGAAAGACAGACCAACGAAGGTAGTATTGAAAATACAAACTCAAGGAAATTTGGGGGCGTACCTGCATCTGGAGGCAACAACGGCAACCCCGCTGGTGCCGAAGCCTTCGCAGCAAAACAAGACAAGCTCCTTAAAGGCAGGAAAAGACTCGGCCAGCAGGGCAAGATCGTCGTCCGTCACAGACATGCGCTTCAAATAGATTTTCTCGAGCCAAGGGTAGGACTTGGCCATGGACGCCACCCATGGGGAGAAGTGAGCGCCCCAGTCAGGAGGCATCATGTTGAAATCTGCGAACCGGGGCTTCCCTTTGATCGTCACGGACCGAACCCGGTTGAACCGCGACATAACACGGCGAGGGGAGACAGCATAGCAGTTTCCGATGAATAAGTCGGATCGGGTTAGTGCTTCCACTCGGTACCACGACTTGCAGACCAACGACGCCGCGTTCCGGTCCTGCCGGGAAGTGAGAAAGTGAAGCACGTTCTCAAGAACATTGTGAAGCACGTTCTCAGCCGTGCCACACCCACCTACGTCATCGGAGCCTCCGCCTCCGCCGCTGCAATTCCGCGTTTTGTTAGCGGCGGCGGCGGCGGCGTCACTACCCAGATCCAGAGTTGGGGGCCGATCGTTATCTTGAGACATTTCTACTTGCTCCACTCTCATGTAACTAACACAAATCACCAACTCCACTCTTATTCTCAAAATCCCCTCTTCCGATTTGGGAAAAGAAAAGACAACTTCACATCAGATCATGAATTCTGGGCCTTGAAAAACAGAGAAAGGATTGTAAGGAGTTTAGAAGAGATTAGTGTAACAGATCACAAGGATGGTGGAATATGAACTGTGAGCTCTGCTGTCTGTATCTCTGGGCATTGGGATTCTTCAGTCCTCTCTCTCTCTCTCTCTCTCTCTCTCTCTCTCTCTCTCTCTCTCTCTCTCTCTCTCTTTCTTCCCTAATGGTTCCAACACAGCTGCTCTATTATTTGGGACTTTCCCTCAACAATCTTGTCCTTTCATCTCAATTCTTACTTTTATAATTTCCTCCATATTTATTGCCCTAAGGCTAAAAACAAGTACTCATTTGTTTCAGAAAAGAGAAGGGGGGGAAAAAAAAAACCAAAAATTTGTGGATGGACCCCCCTAGTTTAGTCGTAAATTACAGAGTGCACATGAAGCGGCATCGAGAATTTACACAGCTCACGCACATAATTGAGGTCGAACATTTACCAGATACCGTTTGTCCTCTACTGCACTTCCCAACATCTTTTGATTTGTGGTTTGCATTTCATTCTGGGATTTTTTTGGAATTTTCATATATTTCAATCGAATATACCCAAATCAACTTGATATTATTTGCATTTAATTCTAATAGTCCGAACGAATAGTGAATTTGTTAAGTGCAGATTAGATAAGGGAATCAGCGGGGTTCCAATATTTGTGTGGCATTTGATGGAAGCTGAACTGGTGAAGATAAGGAAATGCATGTTTGTTTATGACTCTACTTCAACTGTTTTTCCTTTATGGGGAATTGAAATACGCACTCCCCTCCGTACTCTCTCCAGGTACGTAGCCGTAGAATGGCAAAAATGACCCTGAAGTTTTTTTTTTTTTTTTTTTTTTCCCCTTTTTTCTTTTTATCTAAAGAACTCTGATTGTGCATTCAAAATAAAGCCCTTTTAAGGTTCATGGGGCCAATCGCATGGGCCTATTCGAAAATAGGTCAATAGTCGAGTTGAGGGTCGCCCCAATAGGAATGACCGACCATATACATATCCTCATTCAATAAAATGCAAGGGAAAAAATATATTTGAATATGGCTTAACCAAGATTCAGGTTCAAATTTGGAATTTTTTTAAATTTAAATGGTTAGTTTTCTATTTTCTATATATAACTTCCACTGGTGTGGTATCTTGTTTTGATAATGATTTTGAAAATCAGTGACATGGAGACTTCAAGTTAAGATATAGAGGTCGATGATAAAACACTATTAACAAGCGATAGAAAAAGGAAAATGTAGAAGATTTTAGCCACGAATGGTAAAGAAAAGGAGGCAGGCAGTAGTTATGAACATGAATGAACCCTACATTGTTGCTGATTTTTTTGAATAACTCCTAGGAATTTGCTTTTAGAGAGTATGTTGATTTTTAGATGAGGTTAATTCAGTCCAGATTATATTTAAAATTAGGATCTAGCCATTATTCCAAAAAAAAAAAAAAAACAATTATAGAGTAGTAACTATTTACAAATTTATAGAGTGGTGGGGGCCTCTAGGCGGTACAATGGGAAAAGCCCAGGTAAGGGTGAAGCCGGCAATGGTAGCATTATTGTAGCGACTAGGGATAGTCAGGTCGAGTGGGGTCGTTGAGTATATGGATCTGCATACAACCGGGCCAATTATGTAATAAATTATCAATACTGAGCTTACAAATTCCACTTCTTACCTGAATTGATTGAGACCACTCGATCAATTCTGTCTCATCTCATGAATAAGGAGTGTTTACAAGAGAGTAAAAGAGCGAAATACCTCATCAGTCAAAGGATTAAGATTTCTTTCGTATTGACTTCCTGTTCATTATCTTTGTAATTACCTCTAAAATGACCCAAAAATCTTGTAAATTTAATTAATTGAAGCAGGTTTTGTTAGTGAAAAAGAGAAATGGCCCAAAATCCTGAGACCACTCCGATCAATTCATTCTCACTAGCTAACTACTCTCTCAAATTACTACTTTCTATAATATATTATATAATCCTATATGATTTAGTAAATCAATTTCATTATCCTATATTATTTATGAATAATATGATAGTATATAGAATATTACCAATAATTGTATATGTGCAAATACGTGTAGATTAATTAGAAATACTTTGATTTAGAGAAACTAAGAGAGCTCTAAACAAAATACCTATAACAAAATGGAACGAAGGCACATGCCATATACATGTACTCAAAACTCGATTAAGCCGGCCTTCATCTTATTCTGTACATCATAACGTTAAACATTACCACATATATAGAAAAAAGAAAAAACGAAAGCGACGAAATTGTAATGGAAGGAACGGCAAGTTATAAAAGTAGAAAACTGCAGAAAATAAACATTTACAATAATTTACAAACGCAAAAAAGAGGAGAAAAATTAAATAAAATCCAACACCCTTGAAAATAGTAGCTTGGTTGGTAAATGTTCTATAATGAGAACTTGAACAAGGTTTCTCATGACCTGACTCGATCCCATAGGAGTTTGTTGAACGATATGTTCAGTGCGGTAACCGCTACTAAACCAATTATACTAGTCCAATTTCTGTCAAAAAAAAAAAAAAACATAAAATTAGTACAAGAGTTAAATTCTTATGAGCTTTTGGTAAAAGGAAGGCGTTTTAGATAACATAATTTGTTTGATATCATGATCTAAAATCAAAGATTAGTATATAATTTTGTTTAACCAAAATTCACATACAATGTATGCGTGTGTGTGTGTGTGTGTGTGGAGGTCGGCATCACAGGACAACTAATAAGATGCCAACAGTGGTGCACCAAGGGAACATGACAGGAAGTTGTGAAGTGTGATTGCTTCCTTGCGCACGTGCGTGAAAAGCTTAAGAGGAATCCCTCTGAAACCTTCTTTACTATGATTGCACGTGAAAGTAATAAACATAGAAAATGTGTGTTTTTATTTTGAAGGCACTAACCTGCGTGAATCCCATATAAACTAATAATACTAGAACTTCAACTCTGAGCACATTCAAATGGATGAAGGCTCCCTTCTGAGAAATCATGCATCCTAAACCGTTCTAAAATTTCAAAAGGCCTGTTGCAAATAAAAATTCATAATTTCCTTAGTAATCATCAAAAAACAAAAAAAAAAAACATAAAATAGTACAAAATACTTGATTGGGATATATAGATATATATCGCTATAGATAGATAGATAGATATAACGAACTGGCATATGCAGAAGTAGAAAAAAAAAAGATGCTGCTTGGTTACACGAAAAAGATGAGAAGATAATGGAGGAAGAAAGAATAACGGGTTGGATTGGCCTAAAGATCAATGGAGTAGGTAGAAACGTAACGGGTATTTGGAAAAGAAAAAAAAAAATCAATTCTCATTGTGGCTACTAGGGGATATTGAAATCTCAAATGTTGTGAGTTATGAAGTGTATATTTAAAACCGTCGAGAACTGATATGATGATAGAAATCATCTGGTCAGTTATTTATTTCAAAGCCTCTCATGAAAATCAAAACAAAATGAGTTATAAACCTCTGAGCCAACAAAACTCTGCATAATAAGTGATGCATATTTAACATATTTTATGAAGACCAAGGGATCAATGAGGCTTACAGTATGGCTTCTCTATTACGGCACAGTCTGCGCTGATTGTTCTCTATTGCAGCCAACACATCGGCAGCCTGCGGTCCGACCGCTCCACCAGCAACAACTGAAGGGATGGGAGCAGTTGGAGTCCATAGCTGGGAGAGACGATGGCATCAGTAAGACTCAGAGAAAAAGATCAATGGCCATTTCACAACATTTTGTCATACATAATAGAACTTACCTTTATGGTATTGTCGATCCCACTAGTAGCAATGGCACAGTCAAATGGATGACTTTGCACGCAGTTCACAACTGAAAAAGTGATAATAATTCAGTTTCGGATTGGGTTAAAATGATAACAATTCATCTCTAGAATTATACAATGATACTTACCAGCTCCATCTCCAACGAGAATTTTAATCAGTCTACCGGTTCCTTTTTCCCAAATAAACCATCTCCCATCATCACTTCCACTGGCAACATATTCACCTGGAAATATCATTTTAATTAGATTAACAAAAAAAAAATTAACACAAATATTAATCCTATCTTTCCACATTCATTTCTTGGAGTTTAATTATCATGTAAATACAGATTTAAGGATGAAATTCAAATTTTAGGGTAAAGATAGGATTGATTGCAAATATAAGGATGAAATTGACAAAACCCTAATAGTGCATAAAAGAACTTTTAATTTAACTTAAATGCAATTTCCTCGGGGTGACAAGGCAACAACTATGCACCCAAAGAAACTTTCAGGAACCTAAAATTTTATCAATTTATAATACAATTTGTCGATCCCATGGTTCGGTGAATACCTCTTTGCCCGAGAAAACTAGCTTGTTTAATATCAGTTCCGATATTACAATGACCAACATATCTTTGCTTCATATCAATGACGGGTTCAGGCTGCATGTAATATAACACAAAGCTCACTCAGTATGAAGATACCATTACATTAACTAAGGTAAACATACAGAAGCAAATAATATTCGAATCCAGACAAAAGACAAGAAGATTCTGGGTACTAGTCAGTTGAAAGCAAAAGTCATGGTTTATAAATAACTTATGTCATGTCATAATCCACCTAATGCGCCCAAACAAGTGATCACTTCAGAAGAGACTTTTGTTTGTAATAGCTAAAAGTCATGGTTTATTACCCTCCTCGCTTTAACAGCTGCCGGAAGGCTTGGACAAATTTTTCCCCCCCTCATTCCTAATGAGTATCCATTTGAAACAAATCGTATTTTAACTTTTTTCTGTGTATCCCCGGGAGATAAGGGAGGCTGTCAATGTAATCATCCGGAAACCAACGGTTAAACTTACAGATGTGTCTTCCCGCCCCCTATTCTTTCCAGAAACTGAATTGCAAGTAAAAATACTATGGAGATAAAGGACACAGTCCCTTGGCAAATCGAAAATTGGCCAACCAAATTTGATAGAACGTCATACATCATATCGAATTCTACTGGCACGGAGTTCATTTATCATGGACCCAAGATATGCATAATACGGCAATAACAGTAGTGGTTTTCTCAAACGTTCTAAGCAACCCAAAATAATTGAAAGTGGCAGAAAGCATCTATTTAAACATGCATAGCATGTGCCATCTTGCAAACTTCTCAATCCAACGGAGTCATATTTGACTGCAACTTAAGTGGCAGCATAAACAGAATTTTTAAAATTTGTAAAGGAAAAATTATGAGGAAATTCGTGAAATTCAAAAGAAAAGTATTACTGGAACCTGATAAAGTATTCCATCATTTTGTGATGATGAAGGAGACCCACAGGTGCCATTTGCGCCAACCCTTTCTCTCGCAGGATCAATTCGTCTATGTATTCTAAGATTTAAACTTCCTTGTAGAACATTGGAATCAACATCATGGGCTTCATCACCTGATAAAGTTTCAAAGTCCAGCTCCACCTCTTCGTCATAGTCAGAATCTTCTCTTTCCGATCTCAGCCCATCTTGTGAGACATCACTATTTGCATCTGAGCGGTAAAGAAAGTCACTTAATGATAATACTCCACCTAACGGTGCTGATCTTAGAGCTCCATCATTGCTTTTATTTGATTTTTCTGATTCAGCTGGTTACAATATAAATTAATAAATCAAAACCCTAAAGTGAGCAGGAAAATAGCAAGATGCAAAATGTTTAAACAAAGTTCACAACATCACTGTGAAGGCATTTAAGCCTCGCAGTCTACAACAAACAAACATTTTGAAGGCATTTAATGATAAGCTAGCATTTCGCACAAATAAATATACCTTAAGATCAAACTACAAATTTTGAGATATGATATTTTGAATTTGCAAGACTAGGAAACAAGACCTTCATGGAAGATGACAGGAAAAAAAAATCATCTACTAGTAGGAGTCAACAAAAAGCATGCTGATTTCAGTTAGTTACAACAGTTGATTCCTTCTTCCAGCCATTATTCTTTAAAAAAAAAAAAATTAAGGAGAAGAAGTATTCGTAAATACGGATAGTACAAACAAACAAAAAGAGCAAAACAATAATCTAGCAATGCCAAAAGGATCTACAAAAATGAACTTCAGTAGAATAAAATCCAAAATGCAGTGTAGTTATATAAAGTAAGATCAAAGATTGGTGTGGAGCAGTTCAGTTCTCTCAACACCGTAACAGCAATGCATTTATTTCAATCCCAAAATCCTCCACTGGAAAAAGTTTTGATGTTCAACTACTGAGCTCTCCCAGACCTCACTCAAAGATAAATAAAATCTTCTAAACAATCATTTACCTGCAGCAAGGTCCCTCTTTACACTTTCCACCTTCTCCGCCACTTCAGGATTAGATGGGGCTAAATACTGAGCAGCAAACGCAAAATCTAGGGCTTCCTTATGTCTACCCAGCTGCAAGAGAAGAATGAAAATATGAAAAAGAAGGATTGAATCTTTCACTACAAGTTGAAACATTTTACAGAAGTTGGAAATGAGAATCCAACTTCGTCAGGAGTGTTATTCATTTGTTATACTAATTAATTATAAATAAAAATGATATATCTAGATTTGAATGGAATAAAATGTTTGTATTCCGATTAATTAATTGTAAGGTACATAGCCTTCTTAAATAATAGAAAGACTCAATACATAAAAGAAAAGGATCATAACAAGAATAAAATAAAATCGTTTAATGATTTTACAGCTACTTGAAATATTTTCAACCAACCATATCTATAAATCCTCCTGAAATGATAAACTAATGTTAATATGAACAAATGACCGTAGCAGTCCTAACTTCCACCTATAGATCAAGACCAACATGTAATTTCTGAACATTTTCAAATATTGTTGAACAATTCACACTTGCGAACAAACAAAACAATTTTACTTCAACTATGCACCAAGTAACCTTTGAGACTCTTTATTTTATCTTAAACCAGAAAAGTTATGTAAGAGACATAGCTCCCCAAAGTACGAAAACTGAAGCAAGCGGTAGCATAGAACAAGAAAAGAGTTACCTGTGATAAAGCTTCAGACATGTAGTAATGTGCTCTGAAAGAGGACTGATCAATTTTCCTAGCACTGTAACAATCTCTTATTGCCATATGAACATCATTTTTCCACTTCCGCTGAATAAATTTCAACTTTCTTAATTAGAAACCAAAGAAAATACTAACATGTAAAAGTTTATAAAAGTGAAGTAATGAGGAAAAAAAGTACATCAGCCCAGATGCTCCCGACTAAAGAAAAATTTGAAGTAGATAGTAATTCTATCCTGACCCACGGAGAAAACTAATGGTCATTTTCAAACTTATGGCTGCGATAATAATAAAAATAAATAAATATAGAAATGGAGGCTAAGAACCCCTAAATTACCACACATATTGAAGTGCCTTTCGGAAGCTTAATTCTATTAAAAAAATTGAGAATATGGAGCCATTGAACCAAACCACCAACTTGTTGTGAGCAGGAGATAGTCAAAAATCACAAGGAAAAAATATTAAACGATTTCTTAAAAAAAAAGGTCCTACAATGGAGATTAGAAGATTCTTTGAAATTCCTTTTGTAGAAAGGCATCGACTCCTTTAGTAAAATATTTGAACAACAAAAAAACCTCTTACATTTACTAGCCACAATATGTTCTCAAGGAATATCCATAACCACCAACCCCACAAAAATTGTCTTCTTAGTACGAAATATCAAGAAAAGTGGAAGACCAAAGATTGTGGGCAATACATAAGGTAGAATTTCAAGCAATAAAACTAAGGAATTAAACATGAACCTTGAGTAATAAACCAGCACGTGTGCATAATGAATCATGCTTGAAAATAACTCCAATATTACGACCATATCCATCCAAAATTTCATTGCATGCCTCAATTCCACCAAAGTAGTTCCCAACCTCCGTGCATTTTTCAGCAATTTGCAATAATTTTCTGCATTTATCAAGCTGAAAAATTCTTGATAGATTATAAATTTGAACCATTCGAGTAATAACATTGTTTCATTTGAAACACTCATATGAGAATCACACCTTTGCATTAAGACCACAACTTACAGGCAGACTATTGGATAAATTGGAAATAGGATACTGCAATTCCAATCCATTGAGTATGGGAGTGAAGCTCATTAACTTAGATACATCTCCTGATGTATATTGCATCGTACTTTGCCCAGCTTTGGGGGAAAAAAAATATATAGATCAGAAGAACTAAATCAAAACACATTAAATATCAAAATATTCGTTAAAAAATACAATAGTTGGCATTATCTAACTGATAAATAAAACACTGATTGCAAACTCGAAAAGAAAATTCACAATAAGATGCTTTCTTAAGAAAATCAACATAACTTGGCTTTGAAACAGCCATCATCTATGTAAAGTGCATAAAATGGCATTCTACAGTAAATTTATAACAAATACTTGTAGATGCAGGAGTGAGAACGTGATGATTGGAAATAGGATGGCTAACCATTTCATGTGGAAATGTGATTTGGTTATAGATTTATTAATGATCTAAGACCCAATTACATTCTTTAAAGCCTAATTAATTGTAAGAAGCTAATTTACATGTATTAAGAATATTTTACTTAATATGTTAATTCATACTGAATTTAAAACTAATTTCTAAATAAAAGTTCAATAAAATATATGAAGTAACAATTTTTACGTTTTATTTTCATGTCCATGCCCAAGTATTATGGGTTTAGGATGCCTACTCTCCTCTAACCATTACTGCATAACAAATGCACCTTTACTATAATCATAATGGTCAATAAACAATACCTTGATAGATAAACTTTTTCTACTACTATATGTCCCTAAGATTTGGGTTTAGTAGTATTTAAATGCCTGAATTTTCAAACTTGACTGTTTAGCCTCTTAGTTTTGGTTTTAGTTGTGGTCCCTCCATAAAATGTTAATGTGACATTTGTTTTTTGTTAGAAAAATATTTTAGTATTTTTCTTTTTCTTTCTCTCCCTTCTCCCTCCTCTTCCCTCCTCATTAGTAATTAATGGAAAATTGGATGGAGGGACCAAAATGCAACTAAATCCAAAACTCATGGGCTAACCTTTGAATTTGAAAACTCATGAACCCAAATGCTACCGAACTCTAACCTTCAGCAAAAGTGTATTTTTCCCAAGAAGTTACCACGAAGAAAAAATCAAAATAGTGATAAAAACAAATAAATAGGAAGTATGAAGTGCAAAAGAAGCTTAAATTTTAATATGTACCATGATTTACGTTCATCAAATATACATGTTCTCCACTGTAGCTAAGCAAGATCTCTTCTCCATTCGGACTAAAAGTAACATGAGTCAGATGCAAACCCGAGCGAACCTAAAAAGAGAGGGGAGTATGAGATAAGGTGTTTGACTTCGTAGAACCAAAGATGGTTAGAAATCTAGCAACAGCAATTATATGTTTTTAAAACAATAAAGTGCAATTCTTACAAATTAAAACAGTCCATTGGGGAAGTGTCGTACCAAAAAAGTTTTGGAGACAAATATAGTGTACTGCTAAATACATGAATATATTGTGAATTCTCATTTATAAAACTACTAATTATGCGGCATCAGATTAACATGAACAGAAGGTTTTTTTTTTTTTTTTTTTAACTTTTTTGCTCAAGTAGAGAGAAACATTTAAGATATGCATCAATATCATGAGTTATGCAAAATATGAGACATGGCCATACATATTGACAAGAAGAACTGTCTTTACATCCCAGCTTGTATACACTAAATTGACTTTCAAGATTATTACTACTTGATAATGTTTCCCGTAATAGTATGCTGTTGCCAGATTGATGTTGACTATGATTAATAGCAGTTCCTGAACTCACCCGATCCGAGAGATGCATTGGACAGAAGTAGTTAACACAAGGAGGTGGTGTCATCCTTTTCTGGCTGGAAGACAAGGGTGGCAGCATCCTTCTATCATATAACCGTGCAAATGCATCACTGCATATAAAAATCAATAGAAGTTGAAACAAGAACAGTTAGACCCTCATACTTTTTCTTCCTTTTCAGCGATTCCTCTAAGTGGAGTGCCAGCAATAGCAGAATACCTTCCACCAACTAGAAGTAAATGAGGCCTAGTGGTACTAATGTCACAAGATTTTAAAGCTAGGGTTTGTCTGGGAGGATCAGCCAGAGACCTCTTTGCTCCACACCGCAAATCAAGCTGCCAATGAGCTTAACGTGAAAACAATGAACCCCAATAACTGATACCAATAAAAAAATAGAAAGGGTTGATGCAGGTAACAATGAACCCCCCCCCCCCAAAAAAAGGGAATGTTTTCTCAATTGTTGATGCAGCTAATTATATTTGAAAGGGCCTTCCTCATGACTGCATAAATAAACTGCTGCGACATAGCATGTCAAATTAAGCATACATCTAACCCTCACTCACCACCACCCAAGAAAAAAAAGTTAAGGGTATTGTTGCAATGTCCATTTAGCTTGAAGAGAAGGAATGTCAGGATAATGACAAGACTGAAACGCCACTTGAAGATGATAAATATATATTTTTTTTTGGGGGGGGGGTCT